TGGGGTGAAGTTTAATTTCACTTAGGATTGTTTAACTTGAATCTTCCTATTGATAATTAGGATTACAATTGTTAAGTTTCTTATTGGCATATGTGCATACTGTGCGGTCTTCCACGATATTACCTAAAGCCATTCTAAGCAAAGATGGATAGTGGTTAGCAGTGAAATCCAGGATGCGCGTTTCGTCCTACTTGTGACTCTATAGCTGTATGTACGTACATTTCAGAGTTAATGTTCACTCTGTGACTCGAATTCAGTATTGCTTATTTTAAACGCCATTTCTGTATTTTGATTTTTACTGACAAGTTACATACAAAACGCTGTTCATTCTAACGCCCCTTATATTTATAGTCACAAAATAAAATTCAAAGTTTAGTGAAGGAGAACACAAATGGGGACAATCGAATGTAATTGAATACAAAACTACAGAACATCTTAATAAAATCTGAGACTCATATAATAAATACTTCATTAAAAGAATGTCAATCAGTCATCTCAGACTTCACTGTTCCTTCATTTCCTTACCAATCATTCTCTGTTCTTGTTCTCTTTTCTTCAAACTTCTTAACCTTCTACCACCAGACATTTGACTTTCTATTAATGATGCATACTACTTATATGTATCGACATCAGTAGCATACAACAGAAGAGTACATCAATCTTATTTTATCGAACAATTCTCCTAACTTCTATTTGTTAAATTTCGTTTTTCATCTTCTAAATCAAATTTGTATTACTTAAGTTACTGTAACCTAATGAAACAACACTCAGTACAACAATATAAATTATCTTAACAAATAGAATATTTCTACAATTGATAATAAATATATTTTTTTGTTATTTATTTGTCCTGAAGAAGTAACTTATATTAAGGGATGAAACTTCCGTAAGACAACTTTTCTACTCATTGGGATATAACAAAATATAGATTTTTCTTTATTGATTTTCTACACAATACTCAATTTCTTTGAAACTGTCAAATTCAACCCTGGTCTCTATAGTTATGTTTCACTTTATTTTAAGATATAAATTTCAATAATTAAAATTATGAGTCGATTTATCCTAGATCACTATTGAAAACCTGGAAACATTGAACGGCCGTTTTGTCCTAGTATAGGATTTCTCAGCATCGGAAATCCGCGATCCCATACACTGAGATCGAACCCAAAACTTTTGGTCTTGTGCATGGACATTTAATCTCTAGACCACTGAGCCACCATCCATTTGTAGTAACATCTAATTTCAACCAAATGTTATACTTTCTTCATAAACTATTTTTACATTGACAAGTATATACTACTTAACATATACAGTGAGAATGATGGTTTGCGAAAATTGTAGTAATTTAATGGTTGAATTCATGAGTCGATTAATGCTAGATCACCCTAACAAACCTAGAATCACTGAGTGATCGTTTTTTTTCCTAGTATGGATTTCCTAAACAGTGCGCATCCACGATTTTGCACATCAGATTCGAACATGGAACCTTTAGTCTCGTGCATGAAAACTTAACCTCTAGACCACTGAACTGCCATCCAATCATATTAATGTCTAACTTCAAATAATCTACGATATAATACGACTATCCACCACTGTCTTCAATAAATCATTCCATTACAACAAACCAGGTTGAACTCTACTGGTCACATCTATTCACTAGAACTCCAAGAAACGCATTTTGAATTAGATATTTATTTCAGAAGATGACAAATGACATAGTAAATTACAAAGTTGATTACTGAATAAAAATAAAGAAGCATCTGGTCCAGATCCAAACTGTTTTCAGTGACATATGTTAACAAATCAGTTTAAATGTTCTATATATGTTCAAATCATAAACAAACTTTAACAACACATACTACTAATATAAATAATCAAATTCTAATCTAATAATAATAATAGTAACAAATCATTTATCAATGATAGATAAGGTATTCAACTAGTTGAAAGGGAATAATGATAACATAATGTATACAGGGATCTAGCTTTAATCAATATTATATCCTTTTGGTACAATATAGAATTCTTCACTTAAAGTATTTCAACACGATTCCGTTACTTATTGATTGATTGATCCTGACGATAAAATATTGAGCGGTCGTCAGTTAGATGTGAGCAGTTCAGGAATCAACATTTGATTAATGTATATTGTTTTCGATGCATACTGTTCCAAAAACTACGAGGTCTCTGGTTGAGCTCTTTTGTAACTTGTACAGCGCAATGTCATAAATGTTTCATTAAAACACACTTGAATAGATAATGCAACTAATAGGCATAATGATGCGCGAACGCTTAACCTACTCGACCACTGAGCCTCTCGAGACTGAAGGCCCCGGGTTCGAATCCTGCGAGCAGGATCGTGGATGCGCACTGCTGAGGAGTCCCACAATAGGACGAAACGGCCGTCCAGTGCTTCCAGGTTTTCGATGGTGGTCTAACATCAATCGGTTCATGATCTCAATCAAAACTTAACAATCTCCACACCTCCCTATACTGACATATATTTTTGTTCTATAATCGCTAAGTAACTAAACTATTCGTATTCGTGTTCCCCTTATTATGAGCTTATTTTCGACCTATGAACCATTGTTATACGATTTACCAGTCTATTAATTACAGTCTCTCACATTCACAGACTCATTTGGCTAGATCTTGTGCAAATGTTCTTTCCTGTTTTATGATATGATGTGATCTGTTTGGTTTGTATGTAAACGCATTATGCTTGAAATAAATGATTCATATCGCAGAGGCTGAGATCGGTGTTCTGAAGTTAATAGGATCGATAAAGTTTTTAGATTGCTCGTATGGGTTTTATGCGTCATTGGTTCAGTTGCTAAATCACTGTTCTCTAAATGGTGATATCATTACGTTATACATTAATAGGATAAAGGGTACAAGTTATGACATGGTAGAATCAGGTATCCTAGATATTCAAAAAAGCTACCAATTTGAGTTGTGATTTCTGTAAATCTGTGAATGTTATTTAAATAGATTATCATAGGCTACCCACCAGCATTCTCCATCAAACTCTATACTAGGCAATCATTTCTTTTTTTTCAGTTGCTATTCATCATTTTCATACCTGCCTCCGATTCTCGGCACATTTTTTTAGTCTTCTTCTTTTGCGTTTCCTTTCGCGATTCCAAGTTAGTGCTTGCCTCGTAATGCAGTTTGGTGATTTACTCAGTGTATGTCATATCGAATTCTAACATCTTTTACTAATTTCCTCTTCATTTGAAAGCTGGTTTGTTCTCTCCCATAGTAGATTGTTACCGATGGTATCCGGTCAACGGAAATTGAGGATTTTGTATAGACAACTGTTTATAAATTCTTGTACTTCTTTGGTGATGATTGTATTAGTTCTCCAAGTTTCAGCTCCATATAGTAAGGCTGTTTCGACGTTCGTATAGAAGACTCTGACTTTGTTATTGATTGATAGTTGTTTTGAGTTCCATATGTTCTTCATTTGTAGGAAAGCGGCTCTAAATTTGCCGATCGTTACCTTTACATCTAAATCAGACTATCCTTGTGGATCGATGATGCTACCCAAAATAAGTGAAACTTTATACCTGTTTCAGAGTTTTTCCATCAAATGTGATTGTGTTGGTATTCTCCGGGTTGTATTTGAGGATCTTGGTTTTTCCTTGGTGTATATTGAGGCCTACTAGTGAAGAGACTGTTGCTGCACTTATTTTGTTACCTGCATTTGTTTGTGTGTATGTGATAGGTGTGGTAGGTCATCTGTAAAGCCTAACTGTTCTAATTCATTCCGAGCTGTCTATTGCATTCTGTGTTTCGTTTCAGATGTGGAGGTCTTCATAATTCAATAGACCACCAGGATAAAGGAGAAAGGGATAAAGTAAGCAACCTTGTTTGACTCTGGTCCTTACTTGGAATGTATCTGTCATCTGTCCTTCTTGCATTACTTTGCATTTTAGTCCATCGTATGAATGTCGGATGATATTGACTATCTTTTCACGTATATCATAGTGTCGATGAAGGCTCCATAATGTTCTCTTATCCACACAATTAAACATTTTCTCATAATCTAGCAAGTTGATGAATATATTGACGAGTTCCATTCCATTGATTGTTTAACGATGATCCATAATGTCGCGATTCGATTTGTGCACAACCAATCCTTACACAATCCAACTTGTTGATCTCAAAATTGGGCGTCTACTGAATCTTGTAACACAACATATGACTGGTAATCTGATAAAAAACCTAACAGTTTTTTTACGAATCAGTTCTAAATAAAAGGAAAATTTCAGTTTTCAACTACAATCAGTCAATATCAACGATACATTTTTATATTGGAAATCAATTTTAAGTACCATTTTTTCCTCTTTCCAAATTTATTTCACTGTATTGTACTCTTTAAATAACATCTCTAAACCCTAATCTTCCCGATTACTGCTTATACTCTTGCTACCTCTACCACTACGGGATTTGAATCAACAACTGCATCTCTGCGCTAAGGTGGTGTGGCAACTCGAACTGATGTACGTACGTACGAAGTTCTACGTTGTTACTGACTGACTGACTGACCATTATGACAACACACTATACGATTACAATGAACAGAGAAAAACAATCCATTGATCATAGTTTCCTTCGTGAACTTTTTCCGTTTCAAAATTGACAGAACCATTAAAACGTTTATATTAAAGTCAATAATAATGATAATAATATCTGAAATCCTATTGGTTAAATACTATCAACCAATCAGATAATTCTTTTTTTCATAAAATCACTTTCAATTTTTCGCCATGTTTCATTAAACTGGCCTTTTAATACATACGTATATATGTGTAGATGTAGCCATAGCAACTAATTTTTTAAAAATAAATTCTGATCAGTTACAAAGAAGAAGAAAAAATTTTTCCAGATCAAGATCAACTTAATCATAAATAATGAAATGGATATATTACTTATTTATTATACTTACGAATTACTTAATACCTATTAACACTATAGTATATGATGAAGGAATTAATATGAATGTAGATATGACATCACTCAATGGAAATGAATATGAAGAAGTTAAAAATTATAGGAATAATACTAATATAGAAAATAATCTATATGAAACCGATATATCAACTACATTCATTCTACCTATAATGACAGATGAACAAAGATTATTATCAAAAATATTAAATGGTTATGATACAGCATCTAGACCAATATTTAATGCATCTAAAAGTGTACAAGTTGGATTTCAATTTACATTAATACAAATTAGTCAATTGGTAAGTTTAATTTATATTAATTTATAGAATAATAATGATTTATATATATATATATAAACCACCGAAGATAATGATGGATATGTCACTTAGATTAGTGAATTAGTTAAAGTTAGATATTAACACCGTTGGATACCGGCACAGTGGTCTAGACGTTAAGCGTTCGCGTGTGAGCTCGATATGTTCTGAGTTCGAATCTTGCTAGGCGGGATCGTGGATGCATACTGTTACGGAGGAGTTCAATAATAGAACAAAACAACAGTCCAGTGCTTTCAGGTTTTCCATGGTTGTCTAGCTTCAATTGACTCACGAATTTAACTATTAAATTACTATAATATCCATAAAATTCCTCTCTGACCAACTTATTTCCTAAATAATCCATATATGAAGATCAGAAATCATGTAGACATGTCACATCATTATAATATATGGCATTGATTTGTCTTTTGAACTACCATAGACTTATCATCAATGGACATAGATGATGTAAAAAAAGAAAAGACATAAAATTATTGTATTAAGTCAGTTGAGTGATTTGTTTAGTTGAATTCATGAATCAATTAGAGCTAGACCATCATAGAAAACCTGGAAACATTGGATAGCCGTTTCGTACCACTACATGACTCCTCAGTGGTAGTACGCATCCACGATCCCGTTCGTGAGAAATGCGAAAACCGAGTAACCAAGATGATGGAATAAAAAGATTATAATACTAGATTGCGTAATATGATTAATGACAATAGATCTAATAAGTTAATAACAAATTATAATGTGAATGTAGTTAGATGATTAAAATGTTATTGTTACAATAATTATAGGTAATTAAACGCAATTAATTACATACATTTACTGATTATTCATTGTTCACATTTGTTTATCGATATATAGTTAGTGGCTAATAGTGGAATTCAGGACACAGGTTTCGTCCTATTTAGGGTTCATCAGCTGGATATAATTTATCCGCTTGCTTTGAATAAATATCTTCAATATTATAATAGTAATATGTCAGTAATAAATTAAAATACAACCGATTGATTCTTGATTCCATGATTAACAATTGAGCTTAGCATTTAACATTTGGAATCTTGTTTTTAATAAATGCCCATCAGCTTTAAATGTTATCAGTTCAAAGTAATGATACAAGAAAATGATCAAGTCTACCGTTCTTTTTTAAAGTATAACATATAAATATAGAATTATAAGCAAAGTTCATTAGTGGCTAGCAATGGAATCTAGAATAAGTGTTTCGTTTTATTTGAGACCGAACTGCTGGATGTACCTGCATCCCAGAGTTGATGTTCAATCCATTTTATAGCCACCACTCATCTTTGCTTATAAAGCTTATGACTTAAGGCAATATCGAGGCTGTCTGAACAGTATACACATATGCCAATAAGAGATTGATCAACTGCAATCCTAAACAACATTGGTAACATACAAGCAAACAATACCAAATGAAGTGAATGTAGAATTATTTCTATAAAATAGTCTCTAGTTGTGACGACGGACCACCGGTGAACTCGAGGAAGCAGTAAGAGGTTCAGGAGGAGCCGAAGACGTTCCATCCAATCACCTTTCGGAAGAATGTTCTAGAATTCCAACGTGTAGCTTCCCCATTGGATAATGCTAATACCCCCTGTACGCGTGTTGGAAGACTGTAATGATGATTTCGTTCTCACTAAAAACTATAAATACCTGACAATTTTGTACTATGTTTGACACTGTTTGGAATAATAATCCTTTCGTTAGTCTTCTGTCTTCTTACTGCGACTTGGAAGGGGTTTGGTGTTCTAGTGCTCAGTTATTCGCGGTATATCAAGAAAATCAGCTTTTTCAAGATATAACACTAGTGTTACATGTAAGTAGATTGCAAACTTTCTTTCATCTTATTACAATAACAATGGTAAGATGGAGAAGTGTTTTCTGCTGAGTACCTTCAACCACCATCTTATCTCAACATCGTGCATGTAATGTCAATTCACCCAGACTAATGGCCATATTACAACTTGGTCAATAGAATTTGATCTGCATTAAGAACGATCTGACACACATGACATTGATCACCACCCAGTGATCAATCAATCAGAGTAACAATGGTATTTCATTGTACAACGTAACCATTCAGCCAAATGTCCACTACCATCTTATATACACATATAGGATTGCATAGCTCTATTTTATTATTCAATAGGTATTTCATCCAGTAGAGAATTTCTTTAGAGAAAACTTTGAAAAGATTTAAAACTATTATAGGTAATAGTTATATATAAATTGTGAACACAATATAGAGGTAATTGTATCCATTAACGAAACTTTCTAAAGGTTGCCAGGTGGGAAGTTAAAACTATTTAAAATATCCATTTTGTTTTTTAATATACGTGCGGGTGGAGCGAGGGGGTGGAATAGTTGAAAACTAGTAACATTTCTACTTTTGGAATACACCATTTAAATTCCTGTGGTACAATTTGTTTATATCTTCCCATTATTGTTAATGAATGCAATATCGAACCAGTCCGAACAGAATTTACATATACCAACAATATGCTGATCGATTGCAGACCTTAACAACAATGGGAGTGTACAAGCAAATAATACGATGTGGATTTAAACATCACTCGATTGCACAAGCAGTTGACTATCAGTATTCAGTAGCTAAGTGGATGACATGATGGTGTTTAGAGCGAGCGGTAGTGAGTCCGAGGTTCGGAGTGATTATCAACTCTCAGATCCAGGTATATCCAACTGACGAGTTCCGAATAGGACGAAAGATGAGTCCTGGATTCCACTGCTAACCATTATCCATCTTTGCCTATAAAGACACCCTTTTAGTTTCATTTTATAGACTATCATTTATTAGCTTAAATGTAATAAAATATAAGTAATAAACATTTGTGACAAGTTCTGCCATGTTTATAGAGAACTAACTGGTAAATGTGTTTATAATTTAAAATCATTAAATATAATAACAACTGACATATTCACTTCCTTCATTGTGAAATATTTGAAGTGAATCCATGTAGATTATGATTAAGTGAATTGACAACCTAATTTCCAGCAATAAATAGATAAGTATTTTTGAACTGTATCTTATCTTTGTCTCCGTCTTTCAAATGGAATGTTTAACGTTTAAAGCAGACTACACTTTACACAGTATTAAGACTAGATGGCCAGTTCGTTCTAGTATGGGACTCCTCAACAGTGCGCATCGAAGATCCCGTTGGCAGGATACGAACACAGGATCTTTGGCCTCGCGCTCGAGTGCCTAACCTTTAGACCACTGAGCTATAGTATTTATTACATAGATGTATATGTTGGTCTTTTTTTCACCTCACTTGTTATTGCCTTTTTTAATTTTACATCATACTATTTGTAAATTATAAGTAGTCTCGGTATGTTCCAAGCTATTTTTTAAGTTCCACTCTAAAATGATTGTTATTGCTTTAAGGCAATTAGCCCTTTTGATTAATTTCGATACTGTAATAGGAAGTATGTGATGATGCATTAGCAAAATACATTTCGAACAATCTGATCACACATACACTTGTTCAGAACATTTATATATAAAAATAGAAGGTCAACTAGTCTAGTTGAAGGTAAGAGGAAACAAAAGTAATGAAGACAGTAATGTGAAAACAATTTGATACCTCATCACTTTGGATAATAAGTTAATATTACCAGGGTAAGTTTAAGGCGAGAACAAACTGCTTTTCCATACACACAAAGGGGGTTTGAATTTTTGTATGGCTAAGGCTCCAATAAACTTTAGTATAGGCCCTGGGTTTTATCACGCCTGAGGAGTCCCATACTAGGACGAAACGGCCATCCATTGCTTCCAGGTTTTTTATGGTGGTCTAGCTTGAACTCAGCTTATGAACTCAACTATGAAACTAAGTAGACGCCTTTTTACACTTTTGTATAATACCACAAAATCCGAGTGAAGATCAATCTTATGACCTGTTTCAATTATGTGCTTAGCAATAAAAGATACAGGATGTTTATCGTCTACTGTTATTGGGTTATTTGTTTCTACAACCTTTTTTGTATATGTTCACACATCCTAGTTCGGAGATCGTGATTACCTCTTTATATGTACGTGTGACCCCACTTACACATTTAAATTGGTAAACACAGTGGGATATGATGCAACCATTTGCATGTACTTTAGGTCTTCGATGAAGTATGAACCTTGTTCTTCCCTTGATAATGGCCTTTGTTGAGTCATACATCTTTTGTTTCAATCAAAGGCTATTTGAATCATTTCATTAGATGGTAAGGTGATGTCTCACTATACCATGAACTTTCCATCTATTTATGTATTTAAAAGGGATAACCATATTCCATTATTGATTTGTCTATACAAGAAGCTACTTATCAATTCTTTCTTATTTCTTTATTTGGTTGGATCTTTTCTATCGGTGCGTTTCTTGTTTTGTTTTTGTTTGTTGGCTTGTTTTTCTACTGTTTTATCATACTGATTGTATATGCCATTTGTTCAATATTGTTTTAGTTTACCATATGTTTCAATTTATATAAGAAAATGAATTGGAGTTAAGGCGACTTTTTAGTGTTTTGATAATATTTTAGTAGAGCCCATTCATTGTGACTTCTGTTAGGTTGGACGATGTTATTGACGAGCTCATCATTTTAGTGGCACGGGATCTGACTGCAATTAGATTGTATGAATGATTGCTGTCGAATTATACATCTTGACTATTCTCGTATATAATTATCAATTTGATCCGCTCTAATGTATAACGGAATTAAATAAATCAAATACGAGAATGCATTTTTGAATACGCACATTTTGTACACACACTGATCTGAACACGAAATGAGAAGGATGAAGCGAATAGAAGAGAGCGAATTGAAACGATGCGCAGCTCTTCGAATCTTTTCGAGCTTCTTAGAGCTTCCTCGAGTTCACCCGTGGACCGTTCTCACATAAGCAAAACGACGTGTAGTAGAGAAGGCATGTGAGCAAATTATTTAATCAAGCGTTAATC